GTATAATTACTTAAAACATTGTTTCCTTTGCACCATTTTAAAAAGTAAATTCTGCAATCCAAGTGTATCCTTTTTCTCTTTCTAAAAGCAAAGCAGAAGAAGCTACGTAATAAGGGTCCCAGGTGGAATATGTGGCAGGAGATATGTAAAATGATCAATTACCTTGATGTTTCCCAATACAGTTTTCCCCCTGCAGGTCTGTAGAAAAGGAAGTGGTAGAAGATAAGTATCAGATCTTCAGTGCAGAAACAACTTCCCGACTTTTCTATGCAGCTTTTTGAGAAGGACACAGGTTTATCAAATTTATAGCTCTGTTGTAAAGTAATCTATTCACCTCTAATGACTTTGCAAGCAAAAATAATGTGTGTCATTCCATATATTTATTTTAAAAGGAAGAATGAATAAAGATACCCAAGAACACTCCACCTTTTGACTCATCTTTATATTTGAAATTATATCCAGAACACGACTAGGAATTGGAATTGGAATGGAATGGAATACTTTATTTGGCCAAGTATGATTAGACACACAAGGAATTTGTCTCAGGTGCAGAAGCTCTCAGTATACATCTAAAGCAACAGAGTAATAATAATCATAATAATGATACCAATAAGAGAGGGTAGTAGAGAAGAAGCGAAGGATAATAATATTACAGCCATACAACATGGGTGAATATACTTAGACATATGATTATTGTGAGGATTAGGTATTCAGAAAAATGATGGTACAAGGGAAAAAACGTCTCTGTGTCTAGTGGTTTAGAATATAGGTAATCCCCGAGTTATGAGGGTTCACTTAGCGCCCGTTCAAAGTTACGCAACAAGCACTCCCTGAGCAAGTCCCAAAATTATGAATCTTGCAGCACCACAGCAGGCGTTCACCCTTACGAACGACTGCAGAGGCTGTTCAACATTCACCCTATTCTCCCCCTCCCCACAACTGCTTCCCCCTCCCTTCCTGCCACACCTGACTCAACTTACCTTGCAAAAATCCTCTCTATCGCGGTTTCTTTCCCTTTGAGGGAGAGGAGAATCAGTTTGGAAATGCTTTTCGCACCAAGAATGGAAGTTTCTGGAGTCCGTGATCTCATGCGAGTGTTTGAAGTTGCACCAAATCACAGATCTCAGAAACTTTCATTCTCTATGCAAAAGGTGTTTGCGGTGCCTGTCTCCTGCTCCTATCCCCAACTCTTTTCTGCCTGAGGGCAGGCCTGAAGCCTTCAACTGAGGGAGAAGACCAGGCCCCTCGCACCCCGTCCAGCACACCGGAGCTTGCCACACTGGGGGAGAAAGTGACCCCATTGTCCCTGGAGCCTTGGAAGCCTCCTCCAAGCCACCCAGAATGGAGGCCGGGGAGGCTTCTGTGTAGATCTCGAGGTCAGATCCAGGCCTCGGAGGACTGCTCCAAGCTGCTGCCGCCTGGAATGGAGCCTCTGGAGGTTGGTTCCAGGCCTCGGAGGCATCCTCCAATTCGTTTGCACCCGGAATGGAGATCGGGGGACGCTTCTACATGCCTCTGGAGGTTGGATCCAGGCCTTGGAGGACTGCTTCAAGCCGTTTGTGCCCAGAATGGAGATCGGGGGAGGCTGCATGCCTCCAGAGGTTGGATCCAGGCCTCGGAGGACTGCTCCAAGCCCTTTATGCCCAGAACCTCTGGAGGCATGCAGAAGCATCCCCCGATCTTCGTTCCAGGCGCAAACAGCTTGGAGCAGTCCTCCGAGGCCTGGATCCAACCTCCAGAGGCATGCAGAAGCCTCCCCCGATCTCTGTTCCAGACACAAATGGCTTGGAGGGCACCTCCAAGGCCTGGATCCAACCTCCAGAGGCTCCGTTCCGGACAGCAGCAGCTTGGAGCAGTCCTCTGAGGCTTGGATCTAACCTCTGGAGGCATGCAGAAGCCTCTCCCATGTCCATTCTGGGGTGGCAGCTGCGTGGCTCCAGAGTTGGGGGGGAGCAGAGGGCAGGTTCTGCAAACAACACGAGAGTTCAGGCACCCATTCTCTACAAAAGATGATCGGTGCCTGAACTTGTGCAATATTACGGTACCCAGGGGCTTCCATCGACTCTACTGTCCCTCAAAAGCAGGAACTGCGGAAGAGAGGAGACAGGTCTTTTCAAGGTAAATGAGTCCTGCACAGAAAGAAGAGAGGGGAAAGCATGAGGTATCTTAGTGGGTCAGCGAGGCTTGGGGGCCTGTTCCATCACTAGGCCCCTCATGGCTTTCCCCATCCTAAGATACCTCGTGCACTTAACAAGCCACATGCATCTTAACGATCCAGGAATTTTCTCGTTGAGGTACAGATTCATTCCCACGAGTTTTCGAGTTAACGAGTGGAATGTGCAGGTTCCATTACACTCATAACTTGAGGACTACCAATAGAATAGAATAGAATAGAATAGAATAGAATCTTTATTGTCACTTTAAATGTACACTAATCAGCATACATTAAAATGATATTGTTTTGCATTTAGCTCTCAAAAAAATACCACTATGTATATACCCATATACACACACACATATGACACAGAGAAACATTGCAGTCTAGTTCGAATGTATACAGATACATGGCATAAAAAAGAATCCTGCGAAGATGGCATAAGGCTCAAAGCTGTTACAGAATCTAGTAGTTCTGCTATAAATACTTTGAAACATCCTCCCAGAGCAGGAGGAAACAGACGGTGAAGTGGATGTGTGGAGTCTCTAACAATGCTTTGATCTCTAAGCACATAGGGCTTATAAGCAGTATCCTGAATAATGGGAAGTGAGCTTCCTATAATTGTCTCAGCTGTCCTTATTACTCTGTATGGACCTTCTATCTAAGGCACTGCTACCACCAAAACCAAACAGTTTTGATGCAGTTCGTTAAAATGTTCTCAATTGTGCCTCTGTAAAAAGTGGCCAGGATAGAAGGAGAAAGATGTGCTCTCGTCGTCTGACACAAGAAATGCAAATGCTGGTTTGTACGCTTCACTACAGATAATGTATGAAGAGACCAAGTCAGGTTGTTATCTGCACCCCCAGGTACTTAATACTATTGACCACCTCTATAGCTGCAGCCTTGATACAAAGTGGAATATAATCTCTTTTAATTAACATTCAAAACCAGATTATTTTTATTGCACCAGTCCACCAAAGCCTTCACCTCCTCCCTATAAGAATCTTCATTATCATCCCACCACTGTCATGTCATCCACATATTTCACAATATGATTCATAGCAGACTTTTTTGGTTTTGGCATGTAATGCCCTATAGCTGTGTCCTAAGGAAAGGGGTTGAAAAAGTTTTATGTCCAAGATGTGAGAGGTTTGTAGTTTTTTTCTCAGCCCTTCTGACCCACACAACATACAGGTCTTCTATAGAAGGCAGGCTGGTTGCAATTGTTTTTTCTATCTGTTGGAGTCTGTACCTGTCCTGTTTAGTTGCTGTTCCTAAAATCCACTCATCTCTACAGTTTTAAGTATGTTCAACTCCAAATTGTTCCAGCTGAACCAGAGGGGCAATTGTTCAATCTTCCATCTATATGCAGACTCACCACCGTTTGAAATGAGACTAATGACTGTTACATCATCTGTAAACTTCAGAACTTTGACAAAAAGATCCTTAGAGATGCAGCCATTGGTATAGATAGAGACAGAGAAGAGAAATGGAAAACACAGCCCTAAGGGGCACCTGTACTAATTATCCAGATGCTCAATGTGATTTTTCCTAGCTTCACCTGTTGCTTCCTATCTATATGTAAATATGTAAAGTGAGTGTCACAGATATATAGTTGAACTTGATGGTGTTTTTGACATATATAATATAGGTAGGTCTTTCTCATTGCTTTTCTGTTAAGTTTTTCTATCATGCGTGCTCTCTCTCTTTCCTATGGTATTAGATCCATGTTTTCTGTCCATCAAGTTTCTTTTATTAGTTTTTTAAAAACCTCCTACATGTAAAAACTTTTAATAGTCATCCAAAGAGAATGTCAGTAGCTGATCGATATTTGGCTAGAAGATCACCCTTATCTATGTATATTATATTCAGATCCATTGTTGAAGAAAGGTGGTTTATCAGTATAATTAAATGAAATAAAAATCAAATGTTTTCTTTTTTTCAATCATCCTGTCTCTTTATTTTCATATCCTTGTTTTTTAAGCTTTTTTCTAAGTTCCTATCTAATTTTTTGCTGTTCCTTTCTCTTGAAGTGAGCTTATGCCTCATCCCAAGAGCATACACCTTTTTCTTTCCTTAAATGTTATGAAACTTCTTTCATTCACATTCCACTTTCTGACAAAAGATGAAATTACTTATAACATACATTATAAGGTAGACAGATATATTTTCTAACTCCACATATTAAACAGAAGGGTGAAAAGGGCTGGATTTTTTTAAAATGTAGAATGGAGTGTTTTTTAATCTGCATTCTCTTATTTCAAACAGTTTTATTAATTCAGTTTGATAGAAATAATTTCAGTTCAGGAAATAATGCAGAAGGCTTTATGTTTGCTCACGTGCTTCATCTGCATCTTAAATTCAATGCATTTCAATCATATTTTGCTTAATCTACATAGCAAAATAATTTCATGTAGAATGTATTCATTCACATTTAATACATTTATCAATCCTGTTATTGAAAGGTTGGATTCCTGATCATATCAACAGTCTGAAAATAGTTATTTAAAAGAATGAGAATTTTGTCTAAGGTGGATTCATTTTTATTCTTTTCATTTCAAGGAAAGTCTTCAAGAGAAGATTTCACATAAAAGCATTTATCCCACACATAGGCAGCAGAATTCAGCACTGCTGAGTGTATTTTGATACTATTAAAGAGATGAGCATATTTGCCATGTGCTTCCAAAGGTCTTGCAAGCAAACTGCTTCTCTCAGAATTCTAGAAATAATTTTGTTTCAGTTGGCAATTTCTGAGAAAACTGGGAATATCAGGGAAATAGATAATGATTAATTTGTTCTGAAATCATTTATGCACAACTTTCTTTTCTATTAAATATTTTCACAGGATTCTTTGATGCTATAGGTCAGCAGGCCAGAGATTGCAATGTTTGCACTGCAGCCCAGGTAATGCAGGACTAGGAGCCAGTGGCAGCAGCATGCTCTTAGAATCAATTTTTGCTCTTATTCTCTATTGTACCTTTCCCCCCCCAATATTGAAGAATCATTTTCAAGGCTAATTGATGAGTCTCTGGTGGCCACCAATGAAGAAGTCAACTACTCGGGTGGTTTTAGTGATGCTTATATTTTCATTTCCCTTTAAGTTTTTCCCTTAGTTACCTATTATATTTTCTTGACCATTTCTCTTTATGACTTATTTCTATAGGCTCTATGAAGAATCAAGCATCATTCTTTCCTCCCCTTTTAAGAATTGTGTTCCTTGCCATTTGTTTATTCAGTTCTAAAAGGAATGAATCGCGATAGCACAATGTCCAGAGGCTGGAAAAATGACAGCAGTGTTAATGTATATATAAAATGGAAGTTATTCAATAAAAAGTTAATTTTTAATTTGAGTGTGCAGTCTATCTCTCCTGTGAGCTTTATAATGCAACTGAATGTCAGTGTTAATCTTGATTTTCTGTTTGCCTGATATTATTTAGGTCAAAGCTTTGTTGGAAAGACCATTTAAATCTATATTGCTATGTAATTTATATTGTGACATATCTTAAGTATATCTTCTTTAACAAATTAATATAATTGTTCAGATCAATGAATTGGCTGACAGTTGAACCTACTATTGTTACATCACTTCTGCATGTTGGTGTTACTTTGCATGTAATAAAGTAACAATCAGGTCGTCTTAATGATAAACATTTTACTGCTATTATATCTGGCATCCAAGCAATTGTGCAAAACCTAATAAGATGGACTTTTTCTACACCAATTCACAGTCATGGGCTTTTCTAGCTTGGTAGTATGCTCTGATTTATATAGAGTCAGTATGCTTCCTCTGTGCACTATTAGAGTCAGACTGGCATGACACCATACAACTCATTGCTCCACATTATCATTCAGATACATAAGTTGGGAAGCCAGGACTGATGAATTCAAGGGGGAAGGGTGAAAATAAGGGATTGTAATGGAGCTAACTATATGCTTCATGAGCAATCAAAAACTGCCATTGTTCTTACACTCTGAAGTTCAATACTGGCATGTGGTCATCATGTGGAATGCTCATTTGATGTAGTTTAGATATCTCTGTGGTTTAGAGATTGGATCCTTTCTCATTACTTAGTGCAATATTAGGAATAGTGAAATTGCTTTGTTAAAAATATTGAGAGATTCTTTTTCCCTCCATTTCTATGAAAATGAATTAAGTTATATAGTGCCCATTTTCTGTTGGACTCTGGATTTTAAGGGCACAACCATTTCTGTATATTGGGTTCAAACAATTTTATCTCAGGCATGCTAGACTTCCACAGTTTATTACATTTATATGTTGCCCATCTCAGCAAAGCTACTCTGGGTGGCTTACAATTAAAATTGAGTTAAAACCTGCATTCATAAAACTGATAGGAACATGATCCAAAGTGGACCTGGGGAGGGGCTTGGGGGATAGAATTTATCTTAAAGCACCATATTTGCTATCCAAATTAAAAATAACAAAATTTGGGGAGCCATCTCACTGGAAACTGCAAACAGGATACTAGTGGGTTATATATGAGATATAGGCTGCACTTTTTGTACTCCTGTTATGTAGTTTGCCCAGTGTTAACATGAAACACAATTGTGAAGAAAATGTATGGTTACCACTCACCTATATTTTTGAGTCTTGAAAAAAACTAAAGTGGATTATAGTAGCTTGCTTTGAGGAAAGTTGATTTTCCAATTATTAGGCCAGAGATCAGAATGCAGTGATACACTGATTCTGTAAAATGAGCAGAAGTTTTTATCTTCATTTTCACTTCCAGTAGCTTACCTGGGTCATTACTAAGGAGAGCACTTTGGTTCCTTATTTATTTATTTTATTTATTTTTCACATTTTTGAATCGCCCATCTCCCTCAGAGAAAGACTCCTGATGGTATACAATAAAATGTTAAAATATGAAAATTGTGTATAAGAATTTAAAAAACTAAAATCTAAAAAATGTAGAACTTAAAAGGAAGCAAGAATGATTGAACCCTGTTAAAAATTAATGTCAGGCCTACCCCAGCTCAGGATCTTAGGAAAGAAAGACCCTTGGCTTCATTTGATTCAAGTAATAGGTTCTTTTACTAAAGTTGTTGCAACAAAAGAAAGGCTAGATCTGAAGATTCCTGCACAAAATATTACATTTTCCCCCTTTCCCTGGCCCTCCCCCCTTGACCAGTCCACCTCTATCCAATGACATGCTGTTTAGGTGTTTTGGGAATGACCTGGGTGTTTGGCGCCACTCAATGCAGTTTCACATTCTGTTCCCAGGCCAGGTGTCCTTGAAGACTGGTATATGCCAATTCTCACACCTCTGGTTTCTGTCAAGGCTGTCACCCCCCTTCCCTCTCATCTCTATTCTCTACATTCCAGTGCCCCCTCCTCCCCTCATTAAATTTTATGACAGGATGCTAGCAAAGCATACAAGCTCCCCCCCCCTTCTCATGAACTTTAGTCCTGAATAGGAAAGAGAAATGGGAGGAGAGAGAGAGAGAGAGAGAGCAAAATTATTCAATGTATTTGTCATGGAACTTTTGAATGAGTCTTGAGGCTGTTCTATGTTGGGCATCCACCCACTCTGTTTCTGAAAGGGGAAAGTCCTTCCACAATACTAGGTATTGGATTTTTCCTCTATGTGTGCCTGAGTCTAGAATATCTTTGACCTCAAAATGTTGCTGTCCCTCAATAAATATGGGATTGTGTGGTGTTTTTGACGCTGGGTGTAGGAGAGAGGTGGTTGCTGGTTTTAGTAAACTACAGTGGAATACCGGATGGATGGGCCTAAGGGTCTTTGGTAATTCAAGTTGAACTGTTACTGGGTTAAATATTCTTTTGATGGGTAAAGGGCCATTATATTTTGGACCTTGCTTCTTCAAAGATCTGGATTTCAGGTACTTAATGGTTAGGTAGACTTTGTCACCAATTTTAAACTCTTTAGGTTTAGAATGTCTTTTGTCAGCTAGTTTTTTATATGACTCCCACACTTCCTCAAGCACTTTCCGAACTATTGGCCAGATGTTTTGCAATTGTTAAATCCATTCTGTCAGGGTTATAGTTTGTGGAGTGGCTTGGGGCAATTCAGGAGTAGATACAAAGTCCTGCAATTGGGGCAATTCAGGAGTAGATAAAAAGGGGTAAACCCGATGCTACTGTGTATGGTATTATTATAAGCCACTTTGGCAAAAGGAAGGAGATCTGTCCAATTGTTCTGCTGGTAATTAATATAGCACCTCAGATATTGTTCTAGGACCTCATTCATATGTTCACACCCCCCCCCCTTCGTTTCCAGTTTCAGAAATTCTTGCCAAAAGCAAAGTGAACATCACGGTCTGATATGATTCTTTCTGGTGCCCTATGGAGTCTATACGTATTGCATGAGTAGTCTAGCTAAGCTACATGCCGAGGGGATTTTTTGACACAGCATGTAAGGTACTTGTTTTGAAAAGACATCAGTTATCACCCAGATTACAGTGTTCCCGAGCTTTACAGCAACTCCACTATAAAGTCTATTGAGATTTCCTTCCAGGGGGCTTTGGGTTTTTCCATTGGTTGGAGAGGTCCTGGCATTTTCCATTGGCACCATTTTAGAGATACACAAATGGGGCAGCTGGCTATATAGCTTTCTTTTTAAATGATGGCCACCAGAATTGGTGTTTTTACAAGATGTAGGGTTTTTATGAAGCCAAAATGTCTCACTGTTTTTGAGTGATGGCTCCTTTGGATGACCATAATTTGCTGATTCTCTGGGACATATAGTTTGGCTCCTATCCATGCTAAGCCATCACATAATATGCACTCAGTCTGGTGGGCTTGAAACTACTCATCTTTCTCTAATGCCATTTTTAACACACTGAGTAAATTGTCCACTATCTGAGATTTGAGTTTCCTTTGCCCCCTAGTGATGACTGGGGCTGGTAGCTGCCGAGATGGGATAACTGGCTGATGATTTCAGGCTTGGAGCTATTATATTGTGGCAACCTTGAGAGAGTATAAGCTAAAAAGTTCTGCCCTCCTGGAAGGTCCACAATGTAAAGTTGAATGGGTTAGAATACTGACCCCAGTGGACCTGTTTAGGGGACAGCCTCCTGGCTTTTCAGGGCCTTCAGATTTCTGTGGTCTGGCCACAATTTGAACAGAGTTTTGTTCCTTTCTAGGAAGTATCTCCAGGTCAGGAGCACCCAGCGCACCATGTATGCCTCCTTTTCCCACACTGCTCACCTGTGCTCAGTCTCAGCTTTCTAGAGGTGTATGCGCATGGTTGCAAAAACTCCTGTTCATTTTTCTATAACAATATACAGTAACTACCATGGCTACATTGCTAGCATCCACCTGAATAATAAAAGTCGTGTTTGGATCAGGGTGCTTTAACACTGGTTCAGCAATGAACAAATGCTTAAGTTTTTCAAGCACTGCTTGGCACTCCATGGACCATTTTAGGAGTTGGCTAGTCTTCGGCTTCCCTTCGCTTTTGATCTTTAATAGGTTAATGGTGGGCAACACTATCTGTGCAAATGATGGAATGAATTGGCAGTAAAAATTGGTGAACCCCAAGAAACTTTGAAGTTGCTTCGTCATGTTGGGAAGAGCCCATTCCAACACTGCCCACGCCTTTTCAGGGTCCATCTCTATCTCCTTGTGGGAAATGTGCTAGCCCAAATAGTCAATTTTGCACTGGTGGAATTCATACTTGGACAGTTTACCATACAACTTTTGAAATTTTTTAAGTATGGCTCTGACCAGCTTCAAGTGTTCAGCCATGGTTTTGGTGTAAATTAAAATATTGTCTAGGTATACTAGGACTCCTTTATACAGGTATTCATGCAACACTGCATTAATCAATTGCATGAAGACCACAGGTGCACCCTGTAGTCCAAAGGGGAGTACCCAAAATTGGAAGCAACCCAAGGGACAGTTAAAGGCCATTTTCTGCTCGTTCCCCTACTTGATTCTAACCTGGTAGTACGCCTCTCATTAATCCAGTTTAGTAATAATCTTCTCTTTGGCCAGGTGGGCCAGCATGTCCTTCATCAGAGGTAGCGGGTAAACATGTTTGATGCAGACTGCATTAAGCCCGTAGTAATCACCGCACAGGTGAAGGCATCCATCTATCACAGTGGTGGTGAACCTATGGCACACGTGCCAGAGGCGGCAATCAGAGCCCTCTCTGTGGGCATGTGTGCTGCCACTAGCAGCTTGCACAGGTCCATTAGGCTGCCACTGCTGCTTGGAGCAGCAGCCCCACCCAGCACAAAGGCAAAGCAGCCAGCTAGCAAGCTCGAGTAGAGGTGGTAGAGCATGCCCACGCCCAGCAAGCCAAAGGCCATCCCAAGCGGGGAAAGC